TAAAGTATTGGTGTTTTAATGTACAATTTAAGATTGTATCATAACGTTAAATGTATTAGTTCAGGTTGTACCATACAGCAACTTGTATCATTATGTTATGGAACAAGTTCACAACTTGAACTTGTACCATAACATAAAGGTACAAGTTCAAGTTCTACCATAAAAGAATTTGTACAAAAAGTATAGGTACAATCTGAAATTGTACCATAACGTTGAAGGTACAATTTCAAGTTGTACCATAAAGGCAAAAACCTATAGCACCAATGCTATATAACCAAACGCCATTGAGGAGGAACCTTGCCGTGCAAGTCCTACAGCTTCACCGGTTGATGATGCCCTGGATAAGCGGCCTATTACTTCACTTAAGGAAGAAGCAAGAGAACGAGATGTCGAGTCTAACAAAGTACTGCAAGCTTCTGATATAACCAAACCTCGGAGGTTAATCCTTCTGATCCTCCAACGGTTGCAGAACCAAGAACATTTCCAATTACAGTTACCAATAAATTAATGATTAAGAGTTGGTCTTCTCCAAATTCGATAGTACGTATGAATCTAAAAAAAAAAGCTTAAAATGTTATTGATGACTATATTTTTCCCCGATACGTATGTTTGAAGAGCTAATCATCGTTTTTTGCCACTTTCTATTTCTGTGCAGATTATGATGTCCTGTAACTCTAAAATTCATTTCCATTGTCGCTTTCTGATGAGTTCTCCTTGGCCCGTTACAAGTAATAAATATATGATTCAAACGTTTTTACCTACCATTGTCATAATCTTGCTTTTTATTGCGTATATTCTTGAGAGTTTATGTTGGGATACTTTTGATCAAGTGTTTGTCGTGCTCTTTGCCAGTAGATATTTTATTTCCATGTATTATTGCATTGCTCTACAACCTACTAATAGAGGTCATTTTTATCGACCTACTCACACTATGTATGAATTTTAGATGGAAACTTGCTATCAATAGCTTGAAATTATCTACTAATATTCTGCTTTAAGGGATTGTTAGAACTCAGTATGGACAACTGCAAACTCTATTGCAGGAATTTTCCCCAATAGTTAAATTCAACGTGCCTTGATGTTTGATTAAAGTTCTCAGGAGGATTTCTTATTCTCAATCATTATGCCTGTCCTGCAACTCCTTCATGTTCCTATAGAGTTCCTTCTCAAGCCATCACCATTCCCTGCTTACTTTGTTGAACCTCAAATGTTTGGGATAGGTAGCAGCACCGCCTCCTTACTTCACCAGTTCTGCTCGACCACCAGTGGCTTTTATGCGAGCCTTAAAGTTTATGATTCCCTTCATTTTGCGACTATGAATACACTTTTAACCATCTCTTTTTTATTACTATACAGGTACATATAGTGAAGGGAATAATTTATGTCAGTAAGTTTTTTTTAAACCTTTTGTGACCTTTAAAAGTGCATACGTTGGCATTTGTATCTTTTTCAATGTGGTTATCTTTATCTGATCAAGGAAGTAATTTCGTTACCAAACCCACTTAGATACCTGGTGTTGTGTATCGTATATAATTGGATGCTTTTCTAAATATTTTATTTAATCATTTAGCATTTGGCCCGTTCATTCACATTTTCACCTCTGTTTGGCTCTATTATAGGTTAACTGTTGTATAGTATTGCCTTATTGGGTTACAGTATACAAGGAACTTCATAAACCAACATAAGTTTTGGTTATCTAGAGTACCATAACAATGCATTGCTGAATGTTCAAGGCAAAATATGTAAGATCCAAGGTTTATGTTAGAAGATAATACACATACTATGATCTCGGATGATTATATGAGTACTAATTCTGCTCCTGCTACTGAGTTTATGAATGGATATCTTATCAATTGCTCTATGAATGTCATGATTCTCTCATGAATAGAGCATGCGATTGTATGATTAGATCATGGTGGATCCAAAACTGTTATGTTCCTTTATTTATCAAATTGGGATTCCCTGATCTGGTTCACATAGCAGGCTGCAACTCACCTACTAAGAATGATATACATGGGTAAGCATTATCCTTGAGTACTGCATATCAAAAATACTTTTTTTTCCCCATCACTTATGCGGTTTTTAAGGTTACTGATTAGTAAGAGCATGTATGTTCTTTTAAATCCCTCGGGTAGTGGCCACCTGCTGTTATTTCCTCTTTATCTATTTATTAGTTTGATGCTTCTCCCCTACATGCCATCGACTTCTCTTGATTTTGGAAGAACTATGAGGTCTTACGGGTATATGGAATGGAAGCATAGTGGGTTATAGAGTTATGGCTTAGAGATGGCGAAACAGCCTCCCAATACTATCTTAGAGTTCAACCCCTTTGTAATTCATACCAACTCAAACCATATTATCTACGATTCATCTCCATCTTCCATATATATGCACTTTGTAGTATAATTTTTGTTTGATTTCTTATGTAATAACCGCGGGAGGTTCAAAAGTGGATCTTCATCAATTTTAATTCGGATCCCTCAAGTGGCAGAATGATCAATTTGGGATCCTCTTTGCCCAATTGTAGTTGTTTATGACAATTTTTGTGTCATTTGGTTCACTTACCGGATCAATAGCCCCAAACCCCCAAATGAAAATTACATTGACGACTCTCCGATCACCTTACGTAGCATGACACTTCCAGAGTTAGTTAACTTGGAAAATTTTAGGAGATGGTGATTTATTTATTAACGGTAATTTGTAAACTTTATCATATTTTTATGTATCATTTATAAGTTCACCATATTATTTAAGAAAATATCTTCCTCTTTGCGACTCTCGTATAGATGTATATACTTTAAAAAAAACTCCCCTACCAGCCAAGCAGAGGAGAGGATCACATTTCCATAACCATTGATGAAGAAATTGAATCCTTCATTTCTAGCTAGAAACACACAAAGATAGAGTGGGAGAGAGATAGGCAGTGGCGGATACCGGTCTCATCAAAGATGGATTAAAAGACCCGATGATCGGTTGTTGTCACCAGATGAAAAAGGGATCATGGAAAGAAAGTGAAAATTCAAATATACAAATTTTGTAGTGAAAATTCAAAATAGAGAACGAAATGTACGCCAATCCAATCAGATACTGCCTTCCAACTAGGACTAACTAATCAATAGAAATACTTATGAACTAATTACCCATAATGTCACCAATAATATGTACCATAATTATTGCCTTCAAATCATGCAAAGACTAAAAATATCTTCAATCATTTAAAATATCAACATTGATACATAAATAATATAAAATAGACCAAAATCCATCCGACCAACGGTTAATTATTTTGTCAGCGGGGTTGTTGCAGTAGATATTGAAGCATCAAGCCTGCACTGCCCAACAACAATTCTTCGAAGGCCTTCGATAAAGCATCAATGGTGTTGATTAGAGTTAAGGCATACAAACTAATATTAGTGTTGGCCACCAGACTAATTTATCGAGCAAGATCCTGACAACATACAACACAACTATTGTTGTGGTGTGGAGTTGGAATTCGCAGAACGCAGGCAAAAAAAAAATGTTTGGATGTGGTGTTGTGTGGTGTGGAGGTGAGCATTAAATTGGAGATTGTTTGGATTAATACACGAAATATTTTTATTTGAATCTTGAAATTTCGTAGACGATACCTATTTGGTGTAAGGGAAAGAAAAATTGACGACCGATGGTTAGAAAAAAATGAGAAGATGATGAGAAACAGTACGACTGTAATGTGGAGTACTAGAATGTCATTCGGGAAAAACTTAAGGGTTGAGGTGGGAGTGAAATACATGTATTTTTATTTTTTTATTTTATAAATAAATTTTAAAAATACAAAGTGAATCACTGAATCTATATAATTTTATGTATAAAATTAGTAATAAATTATTAGAATGAGCTTTTAAATTTTGTTATTTATTATGATCTTGATTTATATATTGAATTAAAAAAAGATGTGGTGTAGTATTGTTCCGGATGTAATATTTGTCTAAAATCTTATCATATATTTAATAATATTTTAAACATAACAATATATTAGTACTTTATTAATGGTTTGAATATAAAATTATCTGAAAATAGATGGTAGTGTGATTTTTGTCGGGCTTCCAATATGTAGGTATCTAAGATCCCTATATAACTGAATTTATGGCTCTCTGAGAGGCAATCCAATAGCGATCTTTAAAGGGTGCAACAGAGGTGGTATTCAAAGGGGTGCAAAAGAACTCATTGATTAGGTAAGAGGTCAGGAGATACGTGATGGTAGAGGTGGATTCATTTTCGAGAAAATTGGCCAACTCCAGTAGCAGTATGAACGTTTTGTTGTGGAATTCATAGGCAGATAAAACAACCGAGCAACCAATTTGGTGGCTAACAAGGCAATTTCTTTGTGTTCTTACAAGTGTTAGTGGTTTTGATTTTCGACATTGATTTATCTTTTGGTTGTAAACTATGGTATTTTCATAGTTCTTGGTAATACAAGTTAGGTAGGCCAAAACCATTTTGAAGGAGATAAAATATTTTCATGGACCCTTCTCTAGCCTCCAATCCGGACAACCCATATTGGCAAAAAGGAAACTACAAAAATAAATACTCTCACGCTTCAGTTCTGTTTCTCATTATACGAGTCGATAACTTAAAATAATCCGACCAACGGGTCGGGTAAAACCTAGTTTATTATATTTTCTGATTTGGACTAATTATTATTACTAGCTGGTTTGGGAGATAATTGTGGTAGTTAGTTGTTAGTAGAATCGTGGGAAGTGGTTCCACAAGAATAGGGTTTAGTTGTTTTCCTTTGTCAAACGTTGATGTATTTAAGTTCAGAATGGATTCAATAACAGGCAGCCAATTTCAGAAAAATAGAAACTCTGGCCATTCTCGCCAAAAAAGGAGAAATCTGGTCTACTCCCGCCAAGAAAAGGGAGCTATCCAAATTCAAAACGTATCAGCTAGGCATCGGATGCAGTGGAGCGACGACTAGCGGCACAACATAACTTGGTTGCGAAGCGATCTTCGGGACTTCCATGGCGTCGAGGCTCTCAAGCAGCGGCGGTGGTGCAACGAGAGTCGACTGCGACGTTGTTGTGGGCGACACAGATGACAGAAAAGGTGCAAGGTGGCGCGACATCAAAATCTTCTCCGCATTTCTCTACCGAAACGGAAACTTCAATCTGCGGCGGTGGTGCGGTGACTCTATTGGAAGCTATGATGGCCCTACGGCAAGCTGCAATTGCAATATCCAAGGATGTCATCATTCGATTGATGAGTTCGACGGTTGATGGTTTCTCTGAGCTCATTGTGATCGAAACACGGATCGACGGCCCTGATACCAAATGATAGGGATCGAAATTATACGAATGGATGAATCCACTTTCTTGGCGGGATTAAGACCAGGTTTCTCCTTTCTGGGCGAGAATGGCCAGGGGTTTCTTAATTCTGAAATTGCTTCCTTCTTTCATTCATGGCTGGAACTTAAATACATCAAGGAAATGAAATATACCTATCTAAGTGGAACTAACTCCACACGTACTGCTGCTACTCTTTCTCCACTTAAGGTGGAGGGATTTATTCCACTAATCTAACCAATGAAAGACTAATTCTAAACTATGTCAAGCTACTGCTAAACAAACTACTCATTGATCTAACGCTTGATGGGCTGGTGAACTATGGCCGAACGACGTGGCCCAATTGAGGGCTTATCAGCTTCATTCACAGCATCAGCTTCCATGGAGTCAGCAAAAGTATGCACATTGCACATCTATCTATGGATATTGGCCTGAACTGAAATCGAAAACTGAACTAGACCATTCTCCCACTCTTGAGTGGCTTGCTCGCACACAGATCCTACCTAGAAAGGAGAAGCCTTTGAACCAACCCAGATGCTATTACCCTTTGTAGCTAAGGCATTCACTCTGCAATATCTCGTTGAAATCGTAAACATAAACTACAGAAGCATCCTCGAATTACACTAGAGGTTTCACTCACCACACAAAGAGAAAAACCACGAATTGGCCATTCCAGATGTAACAATTCAAGAAGCATTCATTCTTTAGAACTGATTGAACTCGACAATACACCAACTCCACATGAAGTTTCAACTAAAGCTCAATTTGGAATTATGTATTCATTCTCTCAAGTCTCGACATATAAAGTCATAAACGACGGTAAATTGATTCTCCTTAGCCTATATCTATCTATATATGAGGTTCTTTCTAGGGTTTCAATCGAAGGAAAATAAAACCTAAAGAAAAGCAATTAAGAGCGAAATCGAAGACCTTGGATGGAGTAAACGCAGCAGCTAAACATCATCTTTGGGCTTCCGGTACTTCTCCTCGACGACTTTGGCGGTGAAGAGGGCGGAGTGGACGACCTTCTTGATGTTAGGAACATTGTAGTTTTGGGCGATGTAAACCCCACACGTCGTGCCGACGAGGAAGGAGAAGTAGCTTCGAATTAGTCCCATCGATCAGCAGCCCGATGGATGGGTGAGGAGAGGGGAGAGACGGTAGTTCGAATCGGCCGGCGACACAAAGATCTGAGCTTCTGTACAATGTACTCGTGGACACGGGAGTCTAGGTCGAGTGGCGGTGACGACGGAGTCTCCGGCGGCGAAGAACGAGCAAGGAATCGGGGGATATGAAAGGGCTTAAAAGGGATGAAAGAAAAAAAGGCTAGTACACTGTACAAGTAATCAAACGGAGCCGGGCCGCTACTTACTTCCGGCCCACTCCGCAGTCCTACCGGCAAACAAACTGCTTGCTTTATCCTTTTTTTTTTTCTTCATTTTCCGCCTTTGTTGACACGTCTTGTTTTCAATTATTTATTTATTTCGATTTCCCGCAAAAATTGATTTCCGTCCCGTCCCTCTCTGTAAAAGTAAAAACAATAAAAATTTAAAGGGGCGGCTTTATCTGATTTTTTTAATTATCTTCTTCACTTTTATCTATCTGATTCGGCACCGACGCCGTGCCACTTCCTTCATCGTCATCTTCTTCCCTCTTCGTCTTCCGTCTCCTTCACCGGGAATAATTAAGGTCATTCTCATTTCCCTCTCCCATTCCTTTCTCTGCGTTGAGTGATTTCCCCGACGGGTTGTTTGTTTCCAGGGAAGAAAGAAAAGAACGGGAAATTCAAACTGTGTTGTGATTGTTTGTTGCGGGTTTTTTCTGGGTGTATCGGCTACGCTTAGCTCGGTTTCGTTGTCCGGTTGTTTGCGCTGAATTGGAATTTAGGGTTCGTGTTTCTGGACCGAGTCGCCGTGGTGGATTTCATTTTCAAATTTCGCATTGATTCTTGTGACGGAGCGAGATTGATCCGAGCTGTGGAAATCAATGCACGTTTGACTTTGGAACTGAATTCTGGGTGCTAATCACGAGGATTATTGATCGCCTTCTAGTTTGGATTGTCGGAGTAATTTCTATCCCAATCGGGTCATGATACAAGTATCGCCAGCTTTTTCGTGCTTCATCGTTCTGTTTCTAGCTCGTAGTTATCTTGAATGAATTCTTGATGGGCCTTGGATGCTACTAGTTAATCACTGCTCATTTTTTTATGGATTAATCGCTGCTCATTACTAGTGTGTTTTTCGTGCAGCGAGTTTTTTTGGAGTACTTTATCTCGGGAAATTGGTGTTTCGTGGTTTGAACTGAATAGTCTATACGATCAGCTTCATCTCATTGTAAGGTTGACTTGTGGAACCCCTGCTGATGAAGTGTTCACACGGAAGTTGATAAATTGAGCTGTTCCAGTAGGGAGACTGTTTAGATTGCCTGATGGGTGTAAGCTATTTAGCGATTTCAGCAGGGTCTACTGCTTTGAGCTTTGTAGGTCTCCAGTATCAGGCAGAGCTTTCGTTGGATAAACTACGATCCAATGGGTTGATTGAGGAGGGTTCTGTTAACCTAGTAAATGCCAACGATGCCATGGGGTTGCTATTTGGTTCTTACGCCACCACCGCATTGCTGGCAAACTTTCTGTTCAACGTGTTTATTCTGGTCAACCTTTGCCTTAAGGTAAGCTTCGTTATCTGCCAACCCAGCATACAGCTATTAAAGTGGTTTAGTAATGTATGATTGGCTCGAGGGAGGCAGACTGGGTCATCTCTAATTTGTAGTGGAATCAGGCATGTAGAAGTAGCTAAAGCATGCACGAAACGTGCAATCATGGTTGTGCTGTGTTACTGCATTTAAATCCTACTAAATTAGCAAACAATATGTGATCTTTAAGTTGAAGTTTATAGTTTTCTTTCGAGTGGTCTCTGCGCTCATAGATAACGTAGTTGGTTCCACTTTAATCTTGTTTAGTGGAATGATTTCTAGTGAGTTTGACAAATTCTCAAGTCCATTTTCTTAGTGGCATTTACAAACATCAGTTGTAATTCTTATATGATCTCTGATTGCCTTTTTGAAGGCACTTACATTATTTGTATATGACATTTCTAACCTTTCATATTATTCTTGAATTTCTGTATGCCGCTATCCATGTGGCCTTAATATAAATACTATGACTTCAATCATCTAGCCACCTCATGAGGCTAAATATAACAGCTTTCGGAAGTTGCTGGATGAACTTGATGACTCTGGTTGGTTAAAAAGGGAATGCAGCTCCTTTCCTTGTCCATGATGATTGAGTTTATGCTGTGGTATTGATTTTGCATTGCAGAGTATCTTCTTTGCGGACTTGTTCCCTTCTGAAACTCGGAAACTTGTAGAACGTCTTGTAAACTATGTTATTTACAAGGTAAGCTTACTTAATGTTTTTATTTGGTAATATTTTACCATGTGGATATGTTGCACTTTGAGTCCAGACTGTACTCCTAACTGGCAAGTATTTTTCATTGTGTCACAAATCAAGGACAAGCCTTCCACCTCTCACTTCTCTTTTATGTGCTCGAGAAACATGAATAAGTGCTTATCTTATGATGTTTGGATCATGTTGGTTATCAGAAAGGGAAAAAGAGAATGTTGGTCAATTTGAAAAAGCTAGATATTCTGGTAGAATAATTTGATCTTTCTTTATGTGGTGTTCATAATCTTTATATTTCTGTTGTTGCGTGCTTTTTTTATGAATAATTAACAGGGAACCTTTCTACCTCTAGTTATTCCACCCACTGTATTCCAAGTTGGGTTGTGGTTGATCTGGCTGACCATTATGTGTTCTTTGAAGGTAAAAGAAAAGTATTCTATATCAGACTGCTGTTTTAAGTTCATCATCCAAGTGTAGTTGCATATTTGAAATCTTCGATGGTTTTTTTTTTATTTTTTTTTATTTTTATGGTAGCAGATGTTTCAAGCTTTGGCTAGAGATCGGCTCGAACGGTTGAATGCCTCTCCTTCAGCTCAGCCGTGGACATACTTTCGTGTGTATTCAGCATTGTTGTTTGTTCTTTCTATTGACCTTTTCTGGTAATTTACGCCCCCTTTCTGGAAAGAAATGCCACTGAAGTAAGGCTGTCCTAGCTCTTTGTCTCAATGATAACATGCTTACTTCGTTCTGGAGTATGTGCTTATACTAAGAAAGTTAGGAATTGCTGAGCTGCAGAACAAACCCTTTTCCTATTGTTTTAATTTATAATTTATGGTTTTAAACCATGAGTAGACTGTCATAAGCTACCATTTCAGAGCTAGCACGATTCTGCTTCAGTTGACTTACTTTAACCAGTAGAATTCTGTTTAGTTGGATATCTGGCATGTATAAAAATGGGTGAACTATTGTTAAGCTGAAAAGGATATGCTTGTTCTCCAAGATCTAGAACATCTAGAATATTTAGGTTGGAGTATTTTACTAGTTTGCCTATTGATCCCTGTTTTTCTGTGAGTTCTTTAGTTTGTCTTGATTTGCATCTGGATTGATTTTATTACAACCTTCTTTTGATGGTAACAGGATAAGGATATGCTTGGACATTTATAAAACATTGGGTTCGACCATGCTTCTGTTGCTATTTTTTGAACCCCTCAGCATTGCTTTTGAGACATTGCAAGTAATGTTCTGGAAAGTGCTTATTTAACTACCTAGTAATCCTGTTGCACATTTTTATCATTTGGAATGTCTTCTATGGATTTATGTGATTATCTCCTCTCTGTAGGCTATGTTAGTCCACGGATTTCAATTGCTCGACATTTATCTCCACCATTCTGCTGGTGACAGTGCTAACTGTCAAAGTTTCAAGTTCTTTGATACCCTCAGAGCAGGTATACCTGTATGGATTTGGTTACCATCCAAGAGTTAATGTGTTTTTTGATTGATCTGAACTGCGACTGGCTGATTGCCATGTGCTCACTGCCATTTGTAATTTGCTTGTTGTGGGTGCACTTTGTAGTTCAGGTCTAAAACATGAGCTAAAACACTGACTAAACCTTAAGACGCATTAAATTTCTCAAAATCAATTTAGTAGTTCGGAGTCGTATTATTTCACAATGAAAATTAATATATATTAGCAAGAATGAAATCCTTTCTACTAAGGAAGACTTTTTTCAAGAGGGGCAATTGGAATGTCTGAGGCTACCTAAAATGTTGATTTTCTTGATTCCTATACACGTAACTGCATTACAATCTTTTGTATTGGATTGTCAATTCTGCTTTTTTTACTGGGTAAGAAGCTCAACTGCAGGTTCATTGTGGGAGTGGAAAGGCACTCTTACGCGAAATCTGGGTTTTACCCTAGATATGGCTACACTATTGATGGCACTTGGCCATTATGTGCACATATGGTGGCTCCATGGGGTGGCATTTCATCTTGTTGATGCAGTCTTGTTCCTAAATATAAGGGTAAAACTATGCAACTCCCTTCACATTAATGATTAGTATTTCTAACCATAATAAAATATTAGTATTTTGGTTATCCTTTCCAATCTGCTCATTACTCAGTCATGCATGGTATGGTGCAGGCCTTGTTAAGTGCTATCATAAAGCGTGTCAAAGGATTCATCAAACTTAGAATGGCTCTAGGCGCTCTGCATGCAGCACTTCCTGATGCAACATCAGAGGAGCTTCGAGCATACGAGGATGAATGTGCTATTTGTAGGGTATGCTTAAGCTATTATTCAATCAATGATGCATGCTACTTTAGATCATTCTGTGGTCTAAAGGGTTTGCAAATTGGATAAAATGTCACAGGAACCCATGGCAAAAGCAAAAAGGTTAAACTGCAGTCACCTTTTCCATCTTCCATGCTTGAGATCTTGGTAGGTTATTGGAGTTATCTAAATTCTAGTCTTTCTCTTGCATTGAGAAAGTCTTCAATGCTCACTGTGCAGTTTGCTGTGGTTCCAGGTTGGATCAAGGCTTAAATGACATGTACTCCTGCCCTACCTGTAGAAAACCGCTGTTTTTGGGTCGAACTGAAAATGAACCAAGTCCAAGAAATAGAGAAGTTTTAAGTGATGAGCAGCTCGCACGCCAGCTAAGTGAGCGCCTTGATCGACCAAACAATGCAGGGAACAACTTTCCTGCTGGACCATTCCCTAACCAAACTCAGAACCCTATGGAGGGAAGCACTTGGAGGTTTGGGTCATTGTTTCCCTCTTTTAAGTTGGCCCTAAAAGGATTTGAATCATCTTTGCGCCTCTAAGCTAATTCATCTATCTTTCTGTGTCTCCATAGAAGTGCAGGGCTTGATTCAGGTTGGTTGCCTCAATGGCCAAACCAGGGTTTAGATGGAGGAGCTGGCCCCTCGAATAATGCCACGAGATCAGTTGGATTGGGGAGAGTTCAGATGATGATGAGGCATCTTGCATCTGTGGGAGAGACCTATGCCCAGACTGCCCTTGAAGATGCTGCTTGGAGCCTGTGGCCAATGAATCATCCTTCTCAGGGTATGGCATCTGGTTCAGCACTCATCCCACCAGTTCCCACCGCCGCAGGAAGATACCCCGGTGGCGTTGTGGGTGGAGGTTTACACATTAGGACTCCCTCACGTCCTGTAAACGACAACATGGCTAACGTGCTTGCTATGGCCGAGACAGTACGTGAAGTTTTGCCTCACATTCCAGATGAGTTAATACTCGAGGTATGCAGCCAACATATAACTTGTCTACTCATACTTGAACATAGATCTCAACTGCGGAAGCAAGTAAATGAATATGGTGCCTTTCTTTGCAGGACTTACAGCAAACAAACTCGGTTGCTGTTACTGTGAATAATCTTCTTCAAATGTGAGATCTAACGACAATGGCGTTTGGGGGGCGGAGCAATCTTCTGAGTGCAGAGTGAGCAATGAACCTATCCTCCTCCTTTTTGTAGTATTACTTACTGAGGCAAAGTGACAGGTTAGGGTTCTCATCTGAGCTCAGGGTGGGAGAAAAAAGAAAGCTTTTCAGCTTCTGATTACTACCACTTTTTCTTTTTTTGTTTCGTCAATTGCCGTCCTTCATATACCTAAATGCCTAGGGTGTATATAGGTCTTATGTATCTCAATAGAGAAGTGAGTTTGTGTCTGTTACTACATTGCTTCTGTTGAAGAGGGAGCATGAAAATTATAAAGGAAAAGAAGTAATGGTGATTTGGGAGGCAATTATAAGCAACAGGGGAACACAACACAGGTTGCCCTTTGCTGACCCCCTCACTGTCTCTTGGTATTTCGATACCATCCTTCTGCTCTTTGGCTACATTTTGGGGTTTTCCTTGCATCGCCATGGCGCGGTATGGCGTCTCTAAATGAAGTTGTATTGTGGAAACTCATAAACCAGTTGGAACTGGGGGCAACTGGTTCTTGTTCTTCTTCTATCATCCCTTCCCTGCAAGATACGGTCTAATGGAATCCTGTTGCTTAATCTCTCTCTTCAATGAAAATGTAGAGGGATTCGCCTCCTTGGAATCTTTTTATGAGGAATCAGCTGTGGTAATCTGGAGCTAACTTGTTTGTTTCGACCTGTTTTGGATGCGCATTATCGGTTTTGCAGGTGAGGATCTTTGACGCAATGGTACCGCGTCTTGATTCCAGATTGTAAGGTTGTGTGCTTGATTCATGATAGGGTTCAACCCCCTAGTCCCTACCCATAATGGTCTTTTTTTCTTTATATAACAAAACTATTAGCGTAGCGCTGATCGGCGCCAAACAAATTCCTTTCCCGTCAAATACGTAAAGCATGGATCCTGTTGGGCATGTGACTCGGATCCTTCCCCACTGAAGAAACACCAAGGATAATCGCGCCAAGGAGGAGCGCGCAAGTTCACCGTAGTAAAGCGCGCCGGAGTCAGGCGCGGGTGTCACGCCGGAGTCAAGCGCGCGGGTCGCGCCGGAACCAAGCACGCTGGTGGAGACCACACCTGGAGGGGCGCGCGCGAATACTAAACGATGACGCATCATCCGGGCGTGGGCCCTTATCGAGACGCCCCAGAAGCGGCGTCGCGTCACCGCGTCACCCAACGGGTAGTCACCATCATAGTCCTAGGTATAGTCCTGCTTGTGTCAGGAGTAGTCACATCAGTGTCCTAAAAGTATGGACTAAATCTCTGGCATGTCAGGGGTCACATCATTGTGTCCACTTGTAACGCAACCACTCACCCACCACCATGTAGCCTATAAATATGGCATTTACTCCGGTGGGTGAGGGGATCGGATTTTTCAGACTCTATCTCTAAGATCATCGACTTCTCTCTCTAAAATATTTCTCTCTCAATCCTCGTAATCTCCTCTGTTCTTCCATCGACGATTATTTCCCTACTGCTTACTCTCCTTGACCCATTTTCCCGAGTCTCCCTCCTACACCCAGTTAGGCTCAAACAATTGGCGCCCACCGTGGGGTCAAGTAGAGAAGCAAAGAAAAATCCCAAAGAAAATTAACCTATGGCAGAGCACAACTCCAACTCACCTGACGAATCAACCCCGATCAAGGCCATGACCAACGCAAGGGAATTCGCGGTAGCCAGCAATCTCAACATGGTGCTCTTAGAAGAGGAAGAGCCCGAGCTCACAGCCAGAGAAATGAGACAGCTGATGGCGAAGCAGAACGACGTCATAGCCAACATGCAGAAACAGATAAGCAGGTCATGGCGCTCATGATGAGCAAAGAGGTCGCGGCAACAGCGGGCGCGACACCATCCGCGCCATGGACAGTCCTACCTGCGCAACCCGCGCACGAAGCGCAACAAGTCGAGCTCACAGCAAGCGCGACACCAGTCGCGCCCCAACAAGCCCGCGGAGAAACGTCGGGAACGTTCCCGCAATTACACCTCGTGCATGAAACACAGCCAGCTGAACCTCCAGGAAGGGCGGATCTCAGCTTTCTAGAGCAACACCTATCTCCGCAATACCGACTCAGCGCGCCCAAGAAGGAGCTCCACCAGCCGCTGAGCGCGGAAATCATGGCGGAACACCTGAGCGGAATGCCACCCGCCCTCCCGACATACAACGGGACGACCGATCCCGAAGATCACGTGAGCACTTTCTGCCTGCGGATGCAGCTCCAGACCAACTCCAACGCGACACTATGCCGAACCTTCCCATCAACATTTTCTGGGATATGCCTAGATTGGTATAACAGGCTCCCAAACGGGATCATCCGCTCCTTCGAGGAGTTCATACTCCTATTCACGACAAAGTTTGCATCCCAAAAAAGGAGGCCGCTCCACCTCAAAGCTCTGGTAGACCTCAGGCAAAAAGACGGGGAAAGCCTACGGGCATTTTACGCCAGATGGTCCAGAGTGGCGATGGCAGTGCGCGACCTTACTCCTGAAACCACCGCCCATCACCTTATGGAAGCCACAACCAACATGGAACTCAAGCGGGCGCTAGCAAAAAGGCCCGTAACTCTATCAACGGAGTTAGAGATGAAAATCGAGAAGGCGATTACGCTGGAGGAAACCCTGGGAGCGGGATCTGTGAGGCGCTTCGAGCCAGCCAAATTGCCGCGAGAAGAGCAGGGACGACGGCAGATCACGCTGCCGCGATATCAGCTAGCACAGCTGCACAGCGGACATAAGCAACACCCCCCTCCCCCACATGAGCAAGCGCATCGGAGAAGATCACCAGACAGGCGCGCGCCTCACGCGTTTACACCGCTCAACGACTCCGTAAAGAACGTGTTCCACGTTCTACGCGAGAAGGGGTACAAGCTCAACTGGCCCGCGCCCCTGAAGTCCTTGCCCCACATGAGAGATCCAAAAAAGCATTGCGACTTTCACAGAGCGACGGGGCACTGGACGGAGGATTGCCGAGAGCTGCGCTATGAGATAGAGGGCCTCATACGGCGAGGGTTGCTGACCGAATTCACACATGAAAAAGAGGAGCAAGTTGGGGGACACCAAAACCCGCCGCCACCTCCGCAAGCCGATTACAACGAAGCCACCGCAGACTATGTGGTGCGGAAATAAATAGGGGTGGTGACGGTGGAAGGAGATCGCCCGAAAAAGAAAACCAAGCGCGAACGAGCAATCGAATTCGCGGCAGCTGATGTACGAGTAGGGGGTCAACTGAGCTTTGATGACACCGAACTACCGCAAGGAGTTCCGTCGGAAGACCCACTCATCATCACCGCCCTAGTGGCCGCCTGCAAAATCCACCGCCTCCTGATAGACGGGGGTGCTGCGGCAGACATCCTCTTCCAAAGCACAATCGACAAGATGGACGTCGACCCGCTCTTAATCAAGCGCGCCCAAGGGAACTTGGTCGGCTTCTTCGGAGCGAGGGTGCCAGTAATTGGGGTGATCACTCTCCCCGTGGCCATCGGAGACCAAGAGCCGCGCGTCTCAAAGCAGATCGAGTTCACAATAGTCGACTGCAAATCGTCCCACAACGGCATCTTGGGTCGACCCTTCTTAGCAAAATTCATGGCCCTTCCTTCCACGTGCCACCAAAAACTCAAGTTCCCCACAAAAATGGGAACCAGAGAGGCGCGCGGGACACCATGGGAAGCCCTGAAGCTAGAAGGAGAGCCTCGACAAACGAACATTGTCGACACAAGGCCAGAGGAACCCCGCCCGGAATCAATGGATTTCGATTTCGAGGTCGTGCTCGACCCAGCCGGGCCGACCAGGAAAATACGCATCTCGACTCACGTTCGCGATGACGCGATTGAGCCACTGATAGCGCTATTGAAGGAGTACAAGGAGCTCTTTGCCTGGTGCACAGAAGATATGCCAGGGGTACCAAGGCATGTGGCCCAACATTGCCTCGCAGTCCCGTCAAGCGCCATTCCGAGGCAACAAGCGCGACGCGGCTTCACTGGCGACAAGTTGAAGGCCATCGAAGAAGAGGTGTCGCGACTCTTGGCGGCAGGGCTGATTCGCCCAGTCAAGTACCCAAAGTGGTTGGCGAATGTGGTCTTGGTAAAAAAATCTTCAGGCGCTTGGCGGATGTGCGTTGACTACACGACAATCAACAAGGTATGCCCGGGAGACCCTTACCCCCTGCCGCGCATCGACCAACTGATCGACGCCACCGCCGACCACGAGACACTGTCTTTCTTGGACATGTTCTCAGGGTACCATCAAATCCCGATGTCGCGCGAAGATGAAGAAAAGACGGCGTTCATGACTCCCTTCGGAAACTTCTGTTTCGTCGGAATGCCGTTCGGACTGAAGAACGCGGGCGCGACATACCAAAGAATGATTGACTCGGTGTTCTCACACCAGAGGGGGCGGAACATTGAAGCGTACGTAAACGACCTCATCGTCAAAACCAAGGCTGGGAACTCGCACCTAGAGGATCTATGAGGAACATTTGAGGCGCTCCGCAAGCACAGCCTCCGCTTGAACCCACTGAAGTGCGTCTTTGGAGCGGAAGCAGGGAAGTTTTTGGGGTTCATGATAACCAAGCGCGGCATCGAAGTGGACCCAAAACAAATCACGGCAGTCCAACAACTGCGGGCCCCAAGGAGCGCGCTTGAAATCCAATCCCTGAATGGGAAGATAGCAGCGCTGGGGAGATTCATCCCAAGGTCGGCCGACAAGTGCGCGCCCTTCTTCAAGACACTCAAAAATGGCGCGAAATTCGCATGGACCAAGGAGTGTGAAGCAGCCTTCCAAGAGCTGAAATCATATCTTGTATCCCCCCCTGTGTTGACAGCTCCCAAGCCTAATGAAAAGTTATTCCTTTACCTTGCCGTGTCAACAAGAGCAGTGAGCGCTGTTCTAATAGCCAGAAGAATCGATAATACCGACCAGCCCGTGTATTACACCTCGCGCACGCTAGTTACCGCAGAAACGAGATACTCCCCAATTGAGAAGGCAGCCCTGGCATTAGTAAGCGCGTCACAGAAGTTGCGTCCCTACTTCCAAGCGCATCAGATCACCGTCCTGACCAACCTCCCAATAAAGAAAATCCTAACCTCGATGGAAGTGTCAGGGCGCATGGTGAAATGGGCAGTCGAACTCTCGGAGTACGACATCCAATACGCGCCGAGACCAGCAATCAAGGCCCAGATCCTAGCAGACTTCATCGCTGAAGGAGTCACCCTCGACACTACACCAGAGGGAGTATGGGAAGTTTACGTTGACGGAGCGGCGAGTAAGCACGGTGCTGGCGCGGGAGTCGTCGTGCGCACGCCAACAGGCGTCGTTCACGAGATTGCTATCAGATTCAGAGCGTTAAAGACTAATAACGCGGCTGAGTACGAGGCCATCTTGGCAGGGATGACCGCTGCCCACGATTTGGGCGCAAGAACGATAAGGGTACTTTCAGACTCCTCACTGGCAGTCAACCAACTGAACGGAGCCTTTGACGCGAAGGAAAATACTCTTGCGCACTACATAGAGCGCGTCAAGCTGCGAGCAGCCAACTTCAATGCGATAACCTACGTGCAAGTACCAAGAGAGGAAAACATGCACGCCAACGCGCTGTCCAAATTAGCAACCGCCACCGACTTTGAAGCAACGCGTCTCGTGACGGTACAAAAGGAAGAGGAGGAAACTCGCCAAGAAATGGCGATTAATACCACCCAAATTGAGAGCGATGAGGACTGGAGAACCCCAATTGCGCGTTACCTACGAGAAGGCACGGTACCGGAGGATGCCAAAGAAGCATGAACTTTAAGACAGAAAGCGGCCCGGTGCACACTCATTGGAGGAGAGCTGTATCGCCGGTCGTTCTCGGGCGTCTACCTAAAGTGCATCGGACAAGAGGAGGCACGCGACATGGTACGCGACATACACGAGGGGTTGTGCGCAATGCACGCCGGCCCACGCAGCATGGAGCGCACCATTTTGCTTCACGGGTACTACTGGCCGCGAATAAAGAAAGACACGAAAAAATACGCGGAACAGTGCCACAAGTGCCAAGTCAACGCGCGTCAGCACCACCTCCCGTCCACCGAACTCCAAGCCAACCTGAGTCCGTGGCCTTTCGCCCAATGGGGAGTGGATCTCTTGGGCCCCTTCTCAACAGTAAAGGGAAAGCGCAAATACATTATTGTGGACGTGGATTATTTCACAAAATGGATCGAGGCCGAAGCACTGGCCTCGATAACGGCACAACAGGTGACGCGCTTCCTGAAGAACAACATTTTGTCGCGCTTCGGAGTCCCAAACGCGCTCATCTTTGATCACGGGAAGCAGTTTGACTGCGCAGAAGTGATAGACTTCTGCGACCAAGTGGGAGCCATCGCAAGGTTCGCATCCGTAGCTTATCCTCAAGCTAACGGCCAAGCGGAATCCGCCAACAAGACAATCATGCACGGCTTACACACCCGCTTGAACGATGCAAAGGGTAATTGGGCTGACGAGCTGAACACGGTGCTATGGGCGCACCGCACCACACACAAGGTGGTAACAGGCGAAACCCCTTTCGCCCTCACATATGGAACGGACGCGGTAATTCCAATTGAGACAACGACCCCAACCTACCGTGTCGCGCAGTACAACGAAGAAACCAATGATGAGGCGCGGTTGCTGGAGCTGGAGTTATCGCAGGAAAGGCGCGAGTTAGCAGCAATCAAGCTGGCCGCAATGAAAGAGCAGGTAGCCAAGTACCACAACGCCAAGCTGGTTCCGCACAAGCTGATCCTCGGAGACCAAGTACTGCGCCGGAACTTCCGTCCCGATCCCAAGCACAGGAAGCTCGCATCAGTATGGGAAGGCCCCTACCTAATCCGCGAAGTGGTTGGCGCCAACACCTTCAAACTCAGTGAGCTGGGGGGCAATAAGATACAAAGAACGTGGAACGCACAAAATCTCCGGAAGTATCACCAAGCAACTTAACATGTATTTTACTCACGCCACGGCGTCTTGTCTCAAAGGAATGAAAGCACGAAGTTCGCAAGAACAACAATTAGCAATAGTCCAGCACTATTTGCGCCAATCTAGTTCGCAAGAACAAAAAATTAGCAATAGTCCAGCACTATTCGCGCACACAACAATTAGCAATAGTCCAGCACTATTTGCGCCAATCTAGTTCGCAAGAACAAAAAATTAGCAATAGTCCAGCACTATTCGCGCACGCAAAAATTAGCAATAGTCCAGCACTATTCGCGCACACAACAATTAGCAATAGTCCAGCACTA